AATACATGTTCGTCAAGTATTACAAAAACTCAGAGATGCAGGATTGTACGCCAAGATGGAAAAGTGTATATTTCACACTACTCAAGTTGACTTTTTAGGATACATCATTTCAAATGATGGTCTTATGATGGATTCCAAGAAAGTCCAAACAATCATGGATTGGAAGATTCCAAAGACTGTAAGAGATGTCCAATGTTTCTTGGGATTTGCCAATTACTATCGGATCTTCATCAAAGACTTCTCACGAGTTGCAGCTCCACTTACACGCTTGACTAGTAAAGATAAATTCCAATGGAATCAAGAAGCGGAAGCAGCATTTGAAGCCTTGAAGACATCGTTTGTCTCTGCACCAGTCTTATATCGTGTTGACTTTTCCAAGGCATTTTTTATGGAAACAGACGCATCAGATTTTGCCTTGGGTGCAGTTTTATCACAAATGGGAACAGATGACAAACTTCATCCGATAGCTTTTCATTCAAGAAAATTCTCAGCAGCCGAGATCAATTATGAGATCCACGATAAAGAACTTCTTGCAATCGTGGATTCTTTTCAAGAATGGCGTCATTATCTAGAAGGTGCTTCTAGTCCAGTCATTGTGTATACAGATCACAAGAACCTCGAGTATTTCATGTCAGCACGCGTGTTGAATCGTCGTCAAGCTCGTTGGAGTATGTCTTTGTCAAGATTCGACTTCATTATCACTTATCGGCCAGGAAAACAACAAGGTTTGTCCGATGCCCTGTCTAGACGTTCTTATTTTGCACCAAAAGAAGGAGATGCAGCTTTTGAGCAACAAAGAACGGTCCTCTTGAAACCGGAGCAATTTCATCTCCGAGCAGTGAAATCAACATTGACTGTTGATTCAACTTTTCTCAAGCAAATCCAGTCCAGTATGTCCTCAGACCCTCTTGTTCATGATATCGAGAATAATTCTTCCAAGTCTCATGATTCTTCTAAGTTCGAGTTCAAGAATAATCTATTATATTTTGAAGGACGCCTATATGTTCCAGAAGGAAAAGCACGTTTGCGTGTTCTTCAAGCACGTCATGACTTTCCAGCAGCAGGACACTTTGGATATAATAAGACTTTGGAACTCATATCAAGAGATTTTTGGTGGCCACAAATGTGGAAGTCAGTCAAAGACTTTGTACAATCATGTGATATTTGTTCAAGATCAAAAATTCCTCGACATCGACCTTACGGACTTCTTCAGCCATTACCTATACCAGAACAACCATGGTCTTCTGTTTCTATGGATTTCATCACAGATCTTCCAAACTCAAGATCTTATGATTCTATATTTGTGATAGTAGATCGTTTCACCAAGATGGCACATTTTATGCCATGTACAAAATCTATCACAGGTGAAGAAACAGCTAAGCTTTTCATTGATAATATCTATCGCTATCATGGATTGCCTAAAGATATCATATCGGATAGGGGAACTCAATTTGTGTCGAGATTTTGGAGGACTCTTTTCAAGATTTTAAAAGTGGACATAAAGCTATCTTCAGCTTTCCATCCTCAAACTGATGGACAAACAGAGCGCGTAAACCAAGTCTTGGAACAGTATTTAAGGTGTAACATCAACTACCAACAAGATGATTGGACAAACCTTCTGCCATTGGCAGAGTTTGCTTATAATAATACGGTACATTCCTCCACGCAACAAACACCTTTCTTTGCCAATTATGGCTATCATCCACGACTTGATACTTTTGATTTTTCAAAAGTTGATAATCCTGCAACAGAAGATATGGCAAATCGGTTGTCAGAGTTACATGCAATAATGAAGGCACAGTTGAAGAAAGCTCAAGAACGACAAAAGATAAATGCAGATGTATATCGTAAAGAGCAACCACAACTCAACGTGGGTGATAAGGTATGGCTACTTCGTCGCAATATCAAGACCACTCGACCTTGTGACAAATTGGACTATCGTAGGCTTGGCCCCTTTTCTGTTTCTGAACAGATCAACCCAGTTGCATATCGGTTACATCTATCGGAGTCAATGAAGATCCATCCTGTATTCCACGTGTCTCTTCTTGAACCATATAAGACAGTGGATATACAAGGAAGAAGACAAATGCCACCGCCTCCTATAGAAGTAGATAATAATGAAGAATTTGAGGTGGAAGAGATATTAGACTCAAGGCGGCGCCGAAATAAGCTGGAATATCTTGTTCATTGGCACGGATATGATATTAGTGAAAGCACATGGGAGCCATCCAGGAATCTAGCAAATGTATCAACTAAAGTCAAAGTTTTTCATCAACGACATCCATCAAAACCAAGATGAAAACCTCTCTTATAAAAGAGACAAGATTGAGGAAGTTATGAAGGCCTCAACAGTGATCAAATAACAGGGTGGTCTTCTCGCCCTGGAATGGGACACTATCGATGGCTAAGAGGACCCATCAACTATCTTCGAAGAGAACAAAGATCAGAGTATGTAGCAAATACAATTCGCCGCATATTAGATTTTCTCAATATATAATCACCGCTCCTCGTGGAACTCGTCCCTAGAAGGGGGGGTAATGTCACGGACATACATATAATTACCTATATGAATAGATAAAAGTATGTAAAAGTAGGTTAATTGTGTAATATCTTCTAGAGAAGCTTCTTAGAAGCTTCATAGACGCTGCTTTGACTTTATAGGAGTCTATAGTTGACTTTTAGGTTAGAAACTTGGTCAACAAGTTAGCCATGTGCCACGCATGTTGGAAGCTTAAAGAACAAGCTAACTACGTGGTCCATCCATAGAAAACTTGTCTTGCAAGCAAAGGCATGTGGCCTAGAAAGTCAACATATATTGGAGGTCTTATAGAACATCGCCACGTGGCTTCTAGTTAGATAGTATATATAGAGGCAAGAGTGAAGCCCTCTTCACTCTTGTCAACTCCTTTCTTGCTTCTAGTCTAGTTTCAAGGGTCTCTAGTTTTCTTGTATTTTGGCAATAGCCATTCCAGTTTCTTTCTTAATATACATATTTCTATTTTGTCCTATTTCTTTTTGAGAAAAGTCTCACTTACTCTTTAGCTTTCATCGAGTTCTTGTCCTTGACATGTATCTGTTTATTCAATTTTGTTTTATATTTGTCTTTCGTATCTTATTTTGATTAGTTCTTTTTAGTTTAGTTTTGGTCCATTTTGTTCTATTTTGTGATAAGGCTTTATATTGCTATGGATTAGAAGAATTTTAGACTCTTGAGATAGACTAGTCCTATTTCAAAATCTTTTACTTTAATAAAAATAGAATTGGTTAAATTTTTAAAATATATATATTTATATATTTATGATTATTTTATACTTTATTTTTCATATTTATCTTATATACAACTTTAAATTATATATATACATATATATATATATATATATATATGTATATATTCAAAAATCTACTTTTATAAGAATTTTTTCCATAAATATATAATAAATCTATAAGATTTTTTATTACATGATATTATATTTATCTTTTCTTTAAATATTTCTTTAAAATTATTTTAAAACATAATTATTAAATATTTAAATATTTAAATATTTATATATAATATAACACGTCTATTGTATTGAATTTTATCATTATTTTAGATATTTAAAACACTGTATTTGTTTTCTTATATTACCAATCATTAGATTTTTATAATACGTTGAAATAAATTCATTTTTTTATATTTTTATATTTATGTTTTATTTTAATCTAATAGGGCTATGATATAGAAGGTCTCAATATTAAATATAATGGTTTTTTTTTTTTTTTTTTTTTTTTTTCTATCACTTCTTTAAATAAAGAGTTTTTTAAACTTATGTGGTATTAAACATAATATCCATTGTTTCTAAATATACATTGTTACTTTTTTATATTATCATTTTCTTTATCTGAAAATATATATACATGACAGTACTTAGGTCAAAACAGTAAAAATATACAATGAAATTTTTTAAATAGATAAACGTGTATTATTTTAGGAAATAACCAAAAATATTACAATTGAAACTACAATAAACATTTTACATACAACTAAGAAATTAATATATTTGTCATAGCTTGATTATGATTAATTAAAATAATAATAACAAGAAGAAGAAGAAGGAGAAGTCAGCTCTGGATTTTTTCTGAACGGTAATAAAATAAAGGAAAATGTCTTCAAATCCTACAATAAAAGTCAACCTCTCTTCTTAGATCGAAGTATATGCAAACCTTCCAAACAAAAGTCATAATAGAGAGTTCAAAATTTTTTCTCGGAAAAGTCGAGCAGTATTTTATTAGAGCCCTTCGAGGATTTTCAAACATGTCATGGAATAATTCTCAATAAGTCGTATGAATGTTGAAAAAAGCCTCGTTGACCTAATCATTTATTTCAAACAATTCCTCCGCATGTCCTTGGAGAAATCAAAACACGATAGACATCCTCACTATCATAAATAGTAGTGATACTAAAACCATGCTACAGGTAGAGTTTTTCCTTTCTTATCACTACATTTCACAATATCAAAACCTCATTACCACAAAATTACAAGAAGCATCACAATTCTGATCTTTCTTATTCCCACAAGAGTACAATACCAAGAAAAGCACAATGTTAGTGCTATGCCCAGTTTTCAGATGTTCAACAGCACCGATGCCGCACAATTGTGCAATGAAGCTGTCGATATTTTCGCAGTGAGACTAAGTTAATGACAATTGCAACGGTGCCGTTTCAAGCATTCACTTGGGATTCTTGTCCAATGGCCTGGTCAATGACACTGAAATAGTGTAGCCTGTAGCCAGCTTGATCTGAAGTGTGTGTGTGAATGTTTTATCATTTGATACAATTCTGACTCGAAAGCCACTACTGCCTACTGGTTCCTGCAGCAAATTTCCTTGTGTAGGAATAGGCACCCAGTAACACACCCGTGGCAGGAGCCAGAGTGCTGCAGAGGGTTATTGCTGTAACACACATATGCACAAGACGAAAAGCTTCACCAATACTCATATAAAAGTTCAGTGACCGTAGCTGGGGAAAAAAAGTGGCTCGATTGCAGTAAAAGCTTAGATTGTCTACAAAGAAGAAACAGTCAAAATTGTTCAGACTAACTATGAGCCTTGTGAGTTCATGGTGTGCATTCATGGAAAGGTTAGTGGTGGAATGCTCGATGAAATCCCTCTCATGTGTCAATTGATTCAGAGGCTGGACTCGGTGAACAACATCATCGTGTCGCTCTGAAGACTCGTCGAATCGCAGGGGGGTCACTGTCACATCTTCGGCATTTCGCCTGAACTTTGCCGTCTAGTTGAAAGCCAGTCAATTGATGCGACCATGATCGCCCATCCTCAAGGTCGGTATCGTAGTCTCAATAACTGAGTAATTCAGTAAAGGCAACTGCAGGTTATGGGTAAGTGGGATCATATACTGGACTAGGATTTGCTGCTGCCACTATCTCCCCGTAGTCATTTTGTAAGAACATTAGCTGTTCTTGATAGCGGACCCATTTCCTGTGCTTGCTGGCGTTTGAAGATGTGGGCACCTGAGAATTATTACCAGCCGCAAAATTTTGGATCATTGTCGTTTTCAACTATGTTAAGTGGTGGTCCTTGCATAAAAGTGACAAAAAGAAGAAAATGGAGTAGCAGACATGCACATATGTAACTACAGGCAAGGAACTACAAACGAGTAAATAATGGAATAAAATAAGACGCACCGAATCGTCCCCAGATGCTTGTTCACTCCAGTTCGATGCTCGCCTTTCCAATTCATAATCTTCTGCGGCTAAGCTCCTATCTGAGAGATGGAGATTGCAATATACGGGCACATATCAGCATAATGCCATCACCAGAACTGCCAACAGTCACGAGTGCTAGATTACAAGCGTTTTGTGTACAGACATCATAATACGTAGGACATTTGTAATCCATACCGCAAAATACGTAGGACATTACCATAATTCAGAATCGGGTAAAATTACACAAGAAGCACAATGAATGAATGACCTTCCCTCCTAACCTTCTATTGCATGACTTCTGATGAACTAGCAAAGTTTCAGATCTACCAGAACGTTACTTAATTCTAGCTCTGACTTTCCTTATATGGACTTTGCGAACACCGACCTAGTTCGTTAATTAAGTTTGACCCAATAGCCACTAAGGTCATAAGATATTATATTCTAGTTCTTCAGGTCGTTATATGCTGCCTAAGGTAGACTGCACCTGCGTCAAATAAAACCTATTTGCTGCAACCCACCTAAGATTCATGCACAGGGAACAATACTTCAAAGAGTTATTTTGTAAACCGGCAAGCGATGTTCAAGTACTAGCGCTGATTCACATTACTCACGCAAACGGTTATAACCAACTAGCAGGAGTTCTCAGAATTCATCACCTGAGTCACGGAGGGTGCGGGCAGCATAGCACGGGGTCGACACTAGCAACACTACCAAGAATACACACAGCAGCGTGGACGTGGTAACTGTCCTCGCCATCCTAGCGCTTCGAGATGGATTGCATGCCAAGCCCATACGCTGCAGAATTTGAGACCAGGGGCAAGGTTGACGGAGCGAGTGTCAAACCCAGAAACTAGTCAGCCACACACACTAGCAAATCCTAGGCGCGGCGAATGTCAACGAGCAAGCAGAACTGAGTGGGGTCTGGATTCCCTTAAGCGGCAACCAAAATCATGGCACTGAGTGAGGCTAGATATTCAAGGGAGCATGGACGAGGCAAGTGCGGCGGCATCTTCCTTTTCTCATTTGTTAATTTGCCTGCAGCAATCAAGTTCCCTTCTTATTGCCCCGTATATCCGCAATGAAGTCTATTAAAACTGTGCAGGCCGATTTCCTGCTTTAGAAGAGTCAACGTGAGTGCTAAACTTAGCATCCATAAGGCTGTCGCTGGCAAATCCTTGCATTGTCCACGCTTCTCACACTCTGCGGCACTTCGCGGCTTATTCGGCGTCGTTTCACCCCTGGCCCTTGACGCCGAAGCTGCCGCGAGCTGACGCGCGATCGCTACGCCGGTGAATGCCTTGTTGCTGGCTATTTTATTTGGGGATATTAAAGAGGTAGAATGAATGGGCTGGAGAATAATGTTTCAATAGAATTCTGCAATAAAAAGGCAATTCTGTCTAAGGGAATGTGATTTTTCGGGGGATTGGGAGAAGGGTATTTTTTCAATGAAGGAGATACTTGTTTGGAATCTAATTTGTTGGGTGATAAGAAAGATGTAATCTTGCAATTTTAATTATGAATTTTCCTGAGCCAATTGGAAAAGAGTGATTGAATGAATCATTGACATGTTCTTTAAAAAATACATTCTCCTTTTCCTTTAGCACGTTGGATTCTTCATTGAATTTTATGGTCGCACTATGTCGTTGGTCTCTTAGTTTAGGAGGATTTTAAATGAGATCTCTTTCCAATTTTTTATGGTATGTTTTTCTATGAAGATTCATTAATCCTTAATTTGGCCATGAAGATTGCATAGGAATTATATTATTTATTAAAAAGCATAAAGAAGATCATATGTTTATAAAAGGTTCAAATACCACATTTAAAAAATTTTGAACTTACATTTCATGGAGAAAAAGAAAAAGAAAAAGAATATATATACTTATACATGTAGTTTTAGAATTTTCTTTCAAATATTTGAATATATTTTTAATTAAATACAACAAAAAGACATTACAAACTCTATACATTCAAAAAAATATATAATAATATTTTTTTATATTTTCCTAAAAAATCAATGTTACTATAGTAGGAAAAATAATACTCCTCAAAAACAAATTATCAGGTTTGATTTTATAATATTTTTAATCCATTCAATTGTAATTTTTTTATCACAATCTTTTTCAAAAATAGGACACAAAAATTAATCTTAATAAAACACTTTTTTTTCAAAAATCAAGAAAAATTATATTTAATTTAAGTATAAACCATTTATCATAGAAGATAGATAAAAAAAATATATAAATTTAAAAAACATATATATAAGGGAATGGTAAATAGGCCCATATTTTTACTAAATAGACCCATTCTTGATGAAGAACATGGTAATTATAATAAATGTGGTTGGTTTTTATTGGTTGCAGATTCAATAGTAGAGAAATGAATCTAGAGTTTTTTTTCTTCTTCTTCTTCTTCAGATCGTGTAATCAATCACGCTAATTCACAGACACGTTGTGAACAGAAACCCTAATCACAGTGACAGAAACGAGTCACTGCCATTCTCGGTGGTAGTGGCAGAATCATCAACCATCAGCACACATACACACATTTGACTGAACCAAGTTAACACAGATTGCAAGCGATGTGGGGGTTCAGTATCAATATCAACAGCATTCTGACGATGAGCACAATGACATGAGGGAGACATAGTTGCAGCATCCCGAACAGCTAAAGGACCACGCGGTGACCTCGAAGCACTACATACACATGCTTTTCTGTTTTACTGCACAGAAAACAAAGTGAGTGTTGCGTAAAACAGTGCTGTGCCTGCGAGAGCGTGGAACCAGCGCAGCGTTGACATGGGATGGGTAAGTTTAAACCATCGTTACTGCAGTGTGGACGTGGGTCCTTTTCGTTTTCAGTTTATTTTATTTTATTGTCTTGTACATGACGGCATCGTTTGCCGCGTCTGAGCGGCACCTGACGTGGGAAGCACCAGTGCAGTGAGCTGTCTTGTGCTCTGTAATCCTGTAGCCTTGTAATCTTGTGGCTCGCTCATGCCCCGAAATCCGCTCTTTGTTCGGTGTGTTGACATGGTTCGGGGATGCACTGCAAAGCACATCCTCTCGACGCTCATGCGACAGTGCATTAGTCCAGCCGTGCAAACAACCTCGTGCCGAAATCTAGACAAGGAAAGTACCCAGGGCACAGCTTGTGAGACGAGCGCTGGATGATGCCACCAGTCGTGGTCCACGAATTACGGTGTATGATCGAAATAAACGACTGGACTTTGTGTGTGAATAGCGGCAAAGCGCACGACAACATCGATCTGAAACGGACTGTCGAAAGTCCGCCGGGAAGAGTTTAGTTCTGGTCAGTTCAGGTCAGTGGCGATGAAGGCCTTTCTTCGACAAGGGTCATCAGATCTTCGAGCGTGTTGTGTTGGCACCTAAACTTGAATTCGAACATGACTGCAGAGCCAAAAGCGTCTTGGGAGCGCTGACCCGACACCGAGATTCATTCCGCGTGGTGGGATGCGGCCCTGCTTGCAAATGAGGCTCAGATCCTTGACAGCGCAACTGATTTCCGGCATTGTCTCTTGTGATTCTGACTCCACTGGTTGTATACTAGGTCATAGAAGCAGCGTTGGGGGAGTGTTCCCAAGTTGCTACTGCAATTGTGTCGCCCTTGCACTTCGGAGAATCGGCTTGCATTGCGAACCCCCTTCCGCTTTCTGCCTCTGGATTCTTCTTCATCATGCCTCCCTCAGTTGCTTACTCCGTCGGTCCACATGTGTGTTGGGTTTCATCGCCGAGAGTTCTGGTTTTTCACATTTTCTTCCGCCTGATTGGCAGCCATGGACTGGTTTCGGATTGGGGTGAGACTGCCGAAGAGAGGATGTGGTTTATCAGGATAGAATAAAAAGGTGAGGCCTTTCAGGTTCAAATCCACCAACGCCTTCTTGCCATTTTTGTCCTCCGCCTGCAAAATCCTTTCCACTTTTAAGAAAATGCGTTCACGATCACCAAATAAATGAAGCTGCTCTTGGCATGTCTCCCATCTAACCGTGATCGGCGTTGGTGTACTATTAGCGCAACACACACAAACCTCTTCAAGTTTTTCTTTTTCAGACTGTTGTTTTAATAATGTAAATGTCGTTGTAATTTATTCGTTGCATGAATTAGGTTGATGTTATTTTGGCCAACTCTTTCTTAAGATTTTAAAATATAAATGTGGTATAATTGGGAAATTTGTTTAACAAAAAACGCATGTTATACAGTTCTTTTTATTCATAACAATTCAAAAGAGATATCAGTTATTTCGCATGCTAAATTCTAAAACTAACATGAGTTTGCAGCATGTGAGAATAATTTACAAAATTAAAAAAACGTTTGTGATGTGTTAAGGAATTGGAATTCTTTACTCTTTCTTGTCCTGGTTAGAAAGTCAATCAATTTTGAATATTTAGGTTCCAATGTTCAATGGAAAAAAATAACAATACGTTCCTTATTTCATAGTTAAGAATTTGAAGATCATTCAGTTTTCATTGAATGAATTTGTCCTATAACACATTTTAAAAAAATGCCCATAAATTAAATTTTTCAACATTCAATGTTTTTTTGTGCACAAATTCTCAAATTTTACCAATTTCATTCATATGTATACAAATGCACATGTTCATGTGTACAACTGTTCAGAGATTCAGAGAGGGTTTATAACTTTAATATATTCTTAGATGCAACGGTTTCTATACTAGCTTCTTTAAAGAACAATAGTATAACTTCAATATATCCTTAGAAACATGCATGCACTTCTATATACCATGTATTAGCAAAAAGAATGACACCTAAATGCTTTTATTTGTATAATATTTGTATTCTATTTTAATCCCACAAATTAATAATGGGTAACATTTTTAAAAACCTATTACAAAAGAAACAAGCAGTAGTAATAAAAAGAGTTGAAATATGATTATTTACATTTGAGATACATTTATAACAACAAATACCATTAATACTTACAGACAATAATTCTAAAATTCGAAGATCGGACGGCTGGGATGCCTCGGTCTAGTCGGTAGAGTTGCGAGGAATCTGCAACACGTATTGACGAGGTAGTGACGAGGGTTGTGAAGAGGGAGATCTCGAATTCGACCACGTCGAGATGATCCAATCTCTAAACTGCAGACACTATCTCCCCGCAATTTGTGTTGCAGCATCTACCACTTGCATTGCCAACGATCTGTAGGGTTTCGTGGCGACTCTATCCCCACTCCCACTCGCTGTGCTTCTCATCGGCTTCTTGCACTATCGCAACAGCTTATGCGTCCTCGACAGCATGGGTTTGCTGAGTTTTCTAGTGAGAGTATCGAATAACAAGGTCATTCTCGCAAATAAAAGTATCTGTTCTTGGCTTTTCAAGGCCTGTAGTCCTAGATGTTAGGTTATTGTAAATGAACCACACAGCAAAGTCCAAGAGTGTCACTCACCTCAAAATCTACCTCCAAATTAAGTTGCAAGTCGGATTCAAGCGCACATCATACGCTGTGTCTTTCCGTTTCCAGGTTAGATAGTGATTGAAAGCAGCTTACAGAACTAAGATGCAGGTGCTACATTGAACGTTCTCATTCTTATTAGAGAGGAGCACTGGCCCTGCCTAGTTCCATGAGAATTGGGTGCGTGGAAGATGGCAAAGTTTGTCTACAAGAGCATATTCAGTTTTATGGCCACTTCGGAATATGGTAAGTTCCGCTCATTTAGGGAAGGATGCGTGCAGGTAGGCGTAGTTCGAGCATCAGGTTCATCTCCAAGTGATGTGTGGTTGCACTTACAACATGTGTACGAATGTCGTGATATTCAATTTGATGTTCAGTTCTCTTTTCCTTGACTGAGTACGACTTTCAGGTATAGTTTCCTTGTTTTGTGTGTCCTTTCAAGATCGGAAGACCTAACGCCGGCACAATGTGCCGAATGATGTGGTGATTGTGGTCTTTACGCAGCCGACACTCCTGAGCAGTTCCTGAAGCTCACCAAAGAATGCAGTGAACGAGCTCAAAAGATGAATACGCCAAGTTCGTTTTCCAGCCCACCTAAAGTCAACTCTGAACTGTGCAAACATCTAGCTGATAAGCTGAAGTCGGCTGTCGAGAGGGCACAGTCGTTCCTCCACATAAGATTTCTTTTATATGGGGGCACGCCTAAGTATGTCGATGCTTTCAAGCTGTTTTATGGTTTAGCTAACATGGCAGTGGAGGTCATCCGAAGTTGTTGCCAAGAGGAATGGATTCAAGCCGCGTTTCTGATGACGAATGTGGCGAAACATATTCTGTCAACAAGTTTTGACTTGGAGATGTTAACTCATTTCTTTTCTGGATGCTGGACATCGTCTAAAGTACTTGAGAATATTTTCAAAGCTGAACTTGCAATTGTCAACAAGAAAGCCTCACAAGATAGAGAGTCGTTGGTAGAGGATTTGAATGCATTGCTCCAGAGAAGAGAAAATGTGAGCACAGAAACGTATCGGCTAGCTTCTCTTCTTCTGGAGAGGCTTGATCCCCAAAGGCAGAACTTGGGAGGCAGCTCATCAGGGGCATATAGCGTGGACATGGAGAGTTTGAAAGAGATGGAGCAGTTGGGAAAAGGTTCCTTTGCTACCGTGTTCAAAGCAATGTGGCTGGGAGTTGAGGTTGCCAAGAAGACGTTCTATGCACCAAGTTCCCCAGATTTTGAGCAGGAAGTGTCAATCCTAGCACGGCTGTCTCATCCCAATATAGTGTCGTTCCTTAGTTATGCAGAAGGTAAGCGGGAGTGCTGCATGGTGATGGAGTTGATGGATCATGACCTTTGCGGGTTAATGCGGAAGATCATGGCCAAGGACAAGCATCGCAGTAGTCCATTTAGCATGTTGGAAGCAGTTGACCTCATGCTTCAAGTTGGAAGAGGCATTGAGTACTTGCACGAGATGAGGATTGTTCACCGAGGTTTGAAGGCGATGAACATCCTTGTGAAACAGGTGAAAGGAAAAGACGGTAGAAGTTGGTATATATGGGCAAAGGTGGCAGAGTTTGGGATGTCAAAGACGAAAGAAAGGAGTGTAACTTACAGTAACCAGACTCTGAATACGGGGACAACACGATGGATGGCTCCTGAGATGATGAAAGAAAGTGTAAATGAAGGGCAAGAACAAGTGTCAAATGTCGGTATGACAGCAAAGTATCCTTTTGGTGGTGACGTGTGTAGTTTCGCAATGGTGTGTTATGAGATTTTGACTGGAGATGTGCCCTTTTATGACATAGCACAACATAATGAGGTGAAGAAGAAGGTATTGAAGGGTGATCGTCCTGGGCTACCAAAAGATTGTCCAACTTCATTGGAGCGATTGATAAGGAGGTGTTGGAGCCAAGATGCAAGTGCACGGCCTCGATTTGATGAAATATGTGTTGAATTGCGGAATGTGAAATGTCAACTGCTCAGATCAGTCCCCATAGCAATAAATTGGTTCATGCTGCCTTACTTGTCTCTAGTTTGTTTTCTCCCGTCCGGATCAGTCTTGTATCCCTTGTTTTATTATCTGTTGAAGTACGTTTCAAGATCAAGTTGGTCGTGTCTTGTTTATGACAGTCGCCAACCGAAAGTGAGCTTAGTCTATCATGCCACATGACTGGCTGCATTTGTTGATTTAGTCATCCGCAGCGGTCACGAAGGGTATTTGTCTTCGGAAGTTGGATTCACAGAGGGATTTTTGTATTTGTGCTGTATTTTTGGCCTCAAAAATTGGGAAATCCTCCGTGAATCTCTAACGTTATTAATCGGCCAGTAATCGCGCAAGCGCTAAATGTATCAGATGTTGGAATTCCATCCTCTAAAGGAGTGACGGCTCTGTGAATAACATTATCTGGCCTCACTGATGCGCACATGTGACATGTTGAATGACGTGACTATCGCAGAATCAACGACTCAAGATCTGTCGAGCCATCATTCCATAAGCAGACGTATCTCCCCAAGTCCTGGATTCGAACAGGGAAAGACTGGGGGAATGGTGAAGTTTAGAGTTGCTGAATTGAAAAAAATTACTGGTAACTTTTCCGAATCTCACTTGATCGGAGAAGGAGATTTTTGCAAAGTTTACCGAGGGAAGCTCAAAGATGGTAATGTGCTTGCTACCAATCGAACCAGGAAGGTAAAATTGGTTGAGGGCTTTGTGATGGGATTCATTATTCTGAAATGTAGATTTTTCTGAACCTGTGTTGGTTTTATCATAGTTTATTTTACATGTACTGTACTTTCTATGCTTGGAATTCTGAAGGAGTGGATGTATTTCTGGTGCACATTGATTTTGAGGAATTATTGAAGAAAAAGAAGTCTAAAGGCTACAAACACTTAGCATCAGCAAGGATTGTACTCTAAGAGAAAGTGTGGAGGAAGATAATTCTTACTTCCAACACTCTTTACTTATAGGTGGTGGTTTACGCAACAACGAGGCAACTTCCATCCATTTGATATTACATCCATTTCTACCTCATCTTACTAAAGCCTCGGTACTACTACAATAACTTATTTACCTCTTTGCTGTCTTTTTACTATTAACAATATACTATGCTTAAACTTTATGTGATTGTAACTAAGCAAGTACTTGCTATTCTTCAACACTCCCACTTTGCTAATATTCAAAAGGCTTTTAATTTAATCTTTAAATCAAGTCATGATGACTATCCTTGACCAATGCCTTTGTAAGCATATCAGCAAGCATGTCATTTGTAGCACAATACTTCAGACCTATTATTCCGTCTTCAATCTTCTCTCGTATAAAATGATATTGAGCATCAATGTACTTGGTCCTTGAGTAGTGTTTTTGGCAACGGGTGCATAAGTCTCATTAAAAACAATTCCAGCAACTTGTGAGTATCTTTTGGCAACTAATCTTGCATTGTGCCTCACCACCTCACCCATTGCATCTCTTTTAGTCCTAAACACCCATTTATAACCAACACTAGATCGATTTGGTGGAAGAGGTGCCAATTCCCATGTACCATTGTCTATAAGAGATTGGTACTCTTCTTCCATAGCCTTCTTCCACTTGATTGCATCTTCACACTTCATAGCATCACACAATGACAACGGATCAGCAAGAAGAGCAATGTTTGCATGTTCTTCACTTATTTGAGGGAAGATGTGATCCTTCCACCATTCACCATGTTGCCTTCTTTCTCTCAAGGGATATCTCCTTTCACTTGTAGAAGAACATTCACCTTGTTGCACTTTATCAATCTTCTTCTCTCTTAAACCTTGTCATTTTTCATCCAATGGTTGGTACTCTTCATCATTGTCATCATCCTAATCTTCAACATCTTCATTTCTTTCATTGCTAGTCCTTTCAATTGTAGGAGCCTTCATCTTTTCAACCTTCTTTGGCTTTTCATCTTCATCATCTTCATTATCTTCATCTTCTTGTGTCTTTGCTGAATTCAAAGATGTGTCCACAAACACACCATTACTCCCACTTGGATACATCTCCAAGTGCTCACAAGCACTCTTATGCTCCAAAAACTCCACATCATGACTTTTGATGATCTTCTTGGATTCCAAGCACATTAGCCTATATGCCTTAGTACCTTCACAATAACCAAGAAATACATACTTTGTACCTTTTGCATCAAGTTTGGACCTCATATAATCTAGTGTTTTTGCATATGCAATGCAATCAAAGGTCCTCATATGAAAAATGCAAGGTTGTCTCCCACTCCAAGCTTCTTGTGGTGTCATTGATGCAAGAGCACTTGTTGGACACCTATTTCTTGTGTACACTGCATTCACTACAGCTTCCGCCCAAAATTCATAGCCAAGGTTTTGAGCATGTAACATATTCCTTTCCATTTTTACAATGGTTCGATTTGCCCTTTCAGCAACACCATTTTATTTTGGAGTGTATGGAGTTGTGGTTTGTCTAGCAATTCCTTCATTCTTCAAATAAACATCAAATTGCTTAGACATGTACTCACCTCCATTGTCTGTACGCAGCACCTTGATCTTGCATTCACTTTGTTTCTCAACTAGTGCTTTAAACTCCTTAAACCTCCAAAAGCATTCACTCTTGGCTTTAAGAATGTAGATCCAAATCTTTCTTGAATAATCATCAATGAAAGTGAAGAAATACCTTGATCCTCCAATACTTGTGTTCTTCATAGGTCCACATACATCTAAATGGACAATCTCTAGCAACTTGGTAGCACGTATTGCTACACTCCTTGGAAATGAGGCACTTTGTTGTTTGCCTTGTATGCATCCTTCACATGCAAGTTATTTTGTATTTTGGCTTCTATTTCCAAGATCTAAGCTACTTACCATGGTCTTGAGCTCTCTCATGCTTTTCACATTCAAATGGCCAAGGCGACGATGCCATATATTCAACTTGTCTTCGTTTGATGTAAATTCAGTAAATGCAGCTACCTCCACTCCATTCACCTTCTTACAAATGAGGTAGTACAAATTTCCGTCTTTCAAGCCTTTGAAGACCTTGTCTCCACTCAATGATCTTACAAAACATCCATTCATGTCAAATTAAACTTTAAAACCTTTCATTACAAGTTTACTCACCGAAAGAAGGTTTTGCTTCATCTTAGGCACATGGAGGACGTTTTTGAGTCTGATCCTATTGGTTTGTCCATTCATAACCACCTCCACCATAATAGAGCCAATTCCAATGGCTTCACATGTTCTACTATCCTCCAACACCACATTTGATGTTGGAATAGCCTCATAAGTGTCAAATGAACACATATAAGGTGTCATATACTTTGAACAACCTGAATCCACAATCAAACTTGACATGGCAGCCATAGAGGTTCCATTTGTTGCCATGAATGCATAATCTTATCTTCCAAATTCATCTTGTACATTATTTGCATTCTCCTTCTCCATCCTTTTGACTTTGTAGCAATTTCAAGCAAAATGGCCTACTTTTCCACAAATGAAGCAAGATTTGATATTACCTAGTTGATTTGGATAGTTGCCCTTGCCTTGACGTGAATAGAGTACTGAATCTTTGCTTTGGGGCTTCTTTTCTTTCTTCTTGGTTACTTCATGGGTAAGTCTTGCCGTCACATAGTCCATTGTAAGTTCTTTTACCTTGATGGACTCCAATGCCACAATAAGGTAGTTGTAGGATTCTGGAAGGTTCATTAGCAAGGTCATGACAATATCACTTTCTTCTAAAGGCTTGTCAACAATTGCTAGTTGGTTTGCAAGAGCCTTTACCTTATTGACATGAGCCATGAGGTCTTCACCTTCTTCCATCTTGCAAATGAAGAACTTTCTCCTTGTATACATGATGTTGGATAAGTTCTTGCTCTCATAGATGTTGCAAAGAGTCTTCCATGCTTCTACTAGTCCTTTACAAGAGATAATGTGAGAGAAGTTGGCTTCATTCACATTTATTGCAATCAATCCAAAAGCCTTCTTTTCACGACGTTTGAACTCCTTCTTCTCCTTCATATCAGCATCTTTGCTTGGAGCCTCTTCACTTTCATCTACAATATTTCAAAGATCCAAAGACGCCAACAAAAGCTCCATTTTGACCTTCCAATGGTAGAAATTTTTACCTCTAAACTTCTCAATAACTCTCAATCCTTCACCCTCACTTGATGCCATGTCTAAAGAAGAATTGTATCAAAAAAGATTGCAAGAAGAAGTCCTAATGCTCCCAAAATCAGCAAAAAAGTTTTACTGCCTTAGAATCCCAGAATCCTTCTTTGTGAACAAACTAGTGTTTTAACTCTCATAAACACTTTCAACTTCACTTCTAAGACTTCTCACAAGTTTGATGACCTTTCCAAATCTAAATTGTTACTCAAATATCTCTCTTATATTCACAAATCACCTCTCTATATCGAAAGAGGCCTTTTAAGGACAATCAGCAACTTTAGGACATGAAATTATAAAGTAAGGTCACCAAGGATCTATCTCAACAATAGCACAATGCAAAGTTTGTCTTTAGGTGATAAACCAACCAACAACACCAAAATTCTCTTAACAACAAGTAAAGAACAAACCAAGATCTAGATCTAGATCTGAATCTAAAAGTTAGGTACTTTTAATGCCTAACATCAGCAACAACAACTTAATCTACTCCACACTTACAAAATAAAATACTTCAAAGACTTTAAAAGACACTCAAGCAAATGTGAGTGGGTCCATAATCTATTGAAGTAAAAGAAGTCTAATGTCACGGCCATAATCATGTAAGTTAATAATTACATATAGAAATAGGTAGAAGTAAATAAAAGTAGATAAAAGTAAGTCAATTCTATAATATTTAATATAGAAGCTTCTTAGAAACTTCCTAGATGCTGCTTTGACTTCATAGGTGTCTTTAATTGACTTTTTGGATTAGAAACGTGGTCAACAAGTTGGCCATGTGCCACACATGTTGTTAGCTTGAAGATCAAGCTAACTATGTGGCCCACACATAGAAAAACTTGCCTTTTAAGTCAAGGCATGTGTCCTACAAAGTCAACACATATTAGAGGTCCTATAGAACGTCGCCATGTAGCCCCTAGTTAGATAGTATATATAGAGACAAGAGTGAAGGCTTCTTCACTCTTGTCAACTCCTTTCTTGCTTCTAGTCTAGGTTCAAGAGTCTTTAGTTTCTTGTCTTGTGGCAATAGCCATTCCAGTTTCCTTTTAATATACCTACTTGTTTATATTTTGACTTATTATATCGAGATAGCCTTTTTGTGTATATTTTCCCTCATCGAGTCTTTGTCCTTGACAGATTGACAAGAGTGCACTTACAATATGAGAGCTTTGTTTTTCTTGAGTAAGAGTGGATTATCCCTTTCTCTTGACAAGACATAAGCATATTAGAAGTTTGCGGATTACCCACTTCTAAACTGATATTGTTCTTAGTATCTTCTTTGTTATCAAGTCTTTCTTTTCTTTTGTCTTGAGCAGTATCAAACAAATTTTTCTTCTTAGTGTCATTATGGCAGAGCTTGTTGAAATGAAGAGTGCAATGGCACAAATGCAAGAGCAAATGAGGGAGTTAATGCTTGCGATGCATCAACTCAATTCACCAACACAGGAAAGAACAAGAATAGCAGAATGTGGGGATATAGAGATGATCGGAGCTGCTTCAACATCTACAACAAATCACGTTCCTTCTCCAATTGTACAACACCCTGTAAGCACTAGAGAACCAAGAATTGCCTTACCCGAGAAATTTGATGGTACGAGATCAAAGTTTCGAGGGTTCATCAATCAAGTACAATTGGCAATTGAACTTCAACCGCAAAGCTATCCAACTCCATGATCACAAGTCAGGTTTATTGGCACTCTACTTTCTGGTTCTGCATTATCGTGGTTTTCGTCTTTTCTTGAATAACGAAATCCAATATTGG